CGACCGTGTGAACAGAGGGTTCTGTCTACAATTGAGTAAATAAGGAAGAGCTTCTGCTGGGTCTGGACTTCTCTGCATTAACCACCTCCTGAACTTCCACGTTTCGTTACTGCAATGCGCTCTGCACAGTGGCCAGATGCCACAAGGAACTGGTAGTTAAACTTTACATCAAATCATTGTTGAAATTTCACTTCTGTTCAATAGGAAATCATACTGCTATTTTGTGTCCATCTTAGATGTAAGTTTTTATACATTCTGTAAAACTCTGAACATGATGCTGTCACCAGAGGGGTATGTAACAGCACTCGACCAGAGTTTAGGTGGAACTGTGTGCAAAATGGGCTCTGTGGGGAGGGAGAGGAGCTGAAAAACACGCAGCTTGGGAAGCCCGGGGTCCCACACCACAGCCTACAGACAACAAACAGCAGCAGAGTCTGCAGTCCAAAGGAAGATGAGTAAGTTTGGCTTAAAACATTGCAGCACCTTTCAGACTGGTGTCCCCCCCAACGATCCTGGACCCTTCTGCCACTGCAGAGGTGAACATCAGCTGGTCAAAACAAGAGGCACAAACAGTTGTTGCAGAAAACCTCCTAACATGGAGACCTCGCAGCCATCAGTGTACTTCTACCAAGGCATCCTCCTAAAAGAGACACACTTACACTAGAAGAGCATGGACTGCACCAGTGCAATTTACCAGAAGGTAAACTGAATCAATATACACCATACCTACAATGAGGATTTGCAATCATTCCTAAAAAACCTCAGGACAAAGTTCCACAAAATGCTAATTAAACTGGTCTCCACACTGAAGTGACATGCAGCAGAATTGTACTTGGAAGGCAGCTGCAGACCCATCATCTCTCACACCCATTATGTCTGGAAAAAGAATGTCCTTCTCAGAACGTCTTTTTCTTTCCACTATTTCAGAAAAAACAACCTGCTTCCCCAGGTTTGACCTTCAGAAATGCAATCATCCTACTGATTCCAACATTGCACAGTATTGCTAGAAATTCAGAATAGCAATTCCTAGCTAATTTTACATGCCTACCCACACCATGGTAAAAAATATTTTTAAGTACAGAGTATAAGTAGTTATCAATAACTATTTAAATCTTTAACCAAGTACTCAGTTTTTATTATTAGAATTGAAATACTTGCTTTATTTTTCACCTTTTTTTTTTTACATCCTGATGTAACAGCACAAATACTTGAAATCAGAACAACTCATCAAAGAGTTTTTTATTTCAATTACAGTTTTGTAACTTTTAAAGGAACTGGAAGGTCTGCATTAAACTCAAATGTATTTCCACCTGTTAGCATCTCTTAAAAACTGTGGTATGGTTTTACCATATATATAAT